CAACAATTTATATGCAATAACTTAGAGGTTCCTTGAAATTTCTGTGAAAATATTGACTCAAAACCCTGTTTGAAAAGCAAAAATATTTTCAAACGACTTATTTGGAGAAGCATCGGTTTACTATCAATGGGACTCACTTATCACATTTCATAGATTAGGGGAATCAGATTCTAATATATTAAAGGACTAACATATAACTTTTCTAGAGAGAAAAATTTATAGTTAGACCTAATAAAAATCAACCGTTCAACAATTTATATGCTACAAATTAGTAGAAATCTCCAGTTCAAGTCTACATGGTTAGGTTAATAACATTTTGAACATATACTACCTTAAGATAAATTAAATAATGTCCACTTTTTATATTAAACAATTCAGTTCCATTTTGGTATCATCCTTAAGGTTCTAACAAATTAAAACAAAGGGATCAAATTCTAAATTTTCATAAGATAAAGGATGGAACTCAAAATTGAACAGCCTTTGGGTTTTACCCACACTTAATGAACAGGGCTCCGTCATCAATCTTGCTCTGATATTTGTCGGCTTTGCACAGTTTATCACCCCCACGACACAACACACACATAAAAGGGAAAATCAAGTGCCGCAGTCCCTGCAAGTGCAGCAGGAAAAAGAAGAGGATAAACGCCAAGGGGGCCATGACCACGCTCAGTTCCACAAGTCCACCACTATCTTTTCACACCTTTTGCTGCAGTTCCTCGGCGTGTTTCTTGGGTTCTTTTCTTTTGCTTTTCTCTTAATTCATTATTCATCTCCCTTGGACACTGCTCTCTTTGTTCATTTATACGTACAACATGTGTCCCTAAACCCACACGTTCTCCTATATACACCGCATTTGTCCCGTGTTTGCCTATCCATATCCACTCATTCATCAATATGTAATCGATTTTGATCGGTTCATTTGGATTCTTCTTCTTACTCTATAATCGATTCAGAATTCATATTAAACAATTCCATTCCTTTCCATATTTTATTATTATTAAAGATGTAAATGAATTAGACTCGACGCATAAAGTCATGTTGGTGTTCTGTGTATTTATTGTTCGCATTCATACTCATTTAATTTCACGTTCACAAAAAAATATATATGTTGATTCCTTTAGTGGGTGTTTGGTTCAAGGATTGTAGGATTCCCATGGGATGTGAATCCCACATTCTCATGTTTAGTTGGCCAGGAATCTCATTCCCGGTAATGTTTTATTACCAATAGTAGATTTTTTGGGGTATATTACCGGGAATGTCATTACCTCCCTTCCCTTAGGTATTGTAAAATTACCGGCGTTTTTAACTAAAATGCCCTTAAATTTTTATTTTTTTTCAAAAATATCCTTCTTCTGTCATTGAATAATAAAAATTCTACGAAGATTAAATTACAAATTTATCCTTCAATTATTTTAGATTTACAAAAAAAATCTATAATTAAAATTTTATATGAAGTTCAGGGGATAAAATTGTTTTTACCATTTCATTAAACCTTTTTTATATTTTTAATTTTGTAAAAAAAATTATATAAATATTATGAATTTAATTTTTTAAAGAAAATATATAAATATTTTACAATTTGTAATATTATACAAATATATAATAAGGACAATTTGGTCAAAATATATATTCTAATAATCTTTTATTTCTTTAACCAAACACGGTAATCTTACATTCCTGCTAAACCAACCAAGCACAAAATATAACATTCTCAGTAATCCTATTCCATGGTAATCTTTTATTCCCACTGGTAATCTTACATTCCGTGAACCAAACGCACCCTTAACGTATTCATTCTGCAAGATAAAGAAAAACGGTGAAATTATACTATTTGTACTTAAGCTCCTTAGATTTCACCATTTGAACTCTAAAGTTCATCTTACATTCATTTTAGTCCATATCTTCAAGAAAAAATCGAATGATTATAAACGAGTTTTTCATGAACATAAATAAACAAAACATACTTTTGTCATTGTTCGTCTGTTTACTAAATGAGCATAAAAGGTTTATTTATACTAATATATTTAACTTAAAATGAATGGTTCATGAACAAATTATCAAATGCTTTATTCGTTTGTACCCCTAACTATGACTACATATAACAAGGGGCATCTTCCCTTCATGGCATGCCATTTCCGGAAGGATAAAACGGAGACAACAATCATCTTAAGCAGACAATTCCTCGTCACAAGCCCATCGGACAATTGTGTGAACAACTTCAATCATGATTCTCCGAGGGACGAAAATCAGAATTCCACAATTTTCATTATATAATGTCCGGAAAACGATACCATCGACGAGATGACAATATAACTCATCTATGTTAGGTTGGAAACCTTATTACAAATGCAAACAAAAGCGAGTGGGTGAACATGAAATGGCAAGTGAATAATGGCAACTTTGAGGCACGCACAGTGTGTGAAAGTGGAGATGTCACCCGTATGAAACCATGAAGGATATCTTTGTGGGGTTCCATGATATACCTGCTGACACAACACACACAGAGAGTGAAAGAGACATATATTTACTAAAAAGAAACACTACGTTTTAGGGCATCTCATGTCATAATTCATATGATATCTCTTCAACATTTCTTTAACGTCTCTTCTATGTGTTTTGTCTTTGCCTTTACCCTGTGTTTTACGCTGTAATATGAGATATTATGGGGGACCGCAATTGCTATTTGCCATACAGACTTCCCACAGCACATAAAGTAATCATAATTGCAGGACACTCTTGTTGTTTTGCTCTCTTTTTTTCTTTTTTTTTTTAATTATTGTACTCCATTAATTTACCTTCACCAGCAGGGGTTCAGGGGTTGGGTCTAATTCTTTATTCGGTGTCAGATTCATATTGACTGACGTGTCAGCTTCTCCTTTAACGCACTTCGAAATTAGGGATAAATAAACATTTGGTCCCAACTTTTACTTCCTTTTTCAATTTAATCTTTAAATTTTTTATTCGACATAATATGTAAATTTGAATTTTTAGTTATTTTGATGATGTAATATTTTTCAACCGTGTCATGTATCAAAGGATCAAGTTATCATATTAACTTAAAAAATAGAACAGATTGCCAAATTCAAAAACTACTATGAATAAAAAAAATAAAAACCAAGTTGTGGAATGTACTTAACAAATTCGATAAATAAAATTTTTTTATCCCTAAAAATTATATTAAAATTAAGTTTTTTTTTTAAATTTCATTCTTATGCTTTATGAAAATTGAGAAATCGATCTAGCTTGTTTTGTTAGAATTTCATCATTGTACTTTATGAAAATTGAAAAGTTGATCCAATTATAACTCCATTAAACTTTATTGTTAAATTGCTGGGCAGATCATTGATTCAAAAATTTATATCCAACAAACTAACAAAAACTAAGATTCCAATTCACATTTCTGCTGCAAGAAGTTTGGCAGAGACTTTGACCCTTAAAATGGTAAATAGATATATTGAAATCCCTCCATAAATTGTAGGATTTTAAGTTAATACATAATAAAATTATATTTTTAATCCTCCCCAGAGTTTATACTTCAATTATGACTCTTAAATTACAATAAAAGACTATTTTGTTACCATTCTTCGACATCCTCTTCGATCACTCAAATATCAATGAGCATATATCTATCTCTTCTGTCATTTTATCAGTTTAGATTTTACTCAAATTACTTCAAGACTCGTAAAATTAAACTCTAAACCTATCTCATGAAACCTCAAACTACTCTAATATGTACTATTCACCGATCGATCAATGTGGAATCAAGATATACGTGTTTCCTCTTCCTCTACCTCCCTGTTGTTGGGATTTGGAAGATGGTGCTTAATCGTTGAGAAATCAAAGGGGGAGTGACCAAAATAGGAACAAAGTGAAAATTTAGTGAGTGAATTGAAAATTTGTCAGTGCTAGTGACTAAAATAAGAAAGAGGATAAAGTTGAGTGATGAAATTTGTAGTATTTTACCCAGTATCAATAATGACAAGAATAGCAAAGCTAGAGAAACCAGACATCTATCTTAGATAGCTGGATTAGATTATTAATGCAACCCTACAATTAAGTGTTAATTAAGTAGCTAAAGCAAAGTAAGGCAACCTGACGTAGCTAGTGGGCACATATAGTATTTAATTAATTCAAAGCAAATGAAAAGGAGAGGCAACTAATAGTACTCAAGTTGAATAAATACGATAGCTTTGTTAGTCCCATAATTGCTTTTGCCTGTCCCTCAATTTTCCCTTATTCAAAGGGAAATTATTTTGGGGGATACTTGGCTTTATGATGAGATTACATCACAGTAATCTCAGCCTGGTGGATGACCATGACAGGACAACTGGGCGACTACATATGTAGCAATTATATCAAGTTTTTTTTCTCTTAAGTTGGGTCCATTTAAATTAATATATAATTCTTCAAGTTAATTAGAGTTGAAGTTGTCAACTTGAAATACTCGATTAAATTGATGGGTAAAATGATTGAAATTTTCTCTTTAAAAAAAGAAAAAAAGAAAAAGAAAATGTCATCATTTCATAGACCGGGTACCAAGAATTCAATGAATGAATCTAAGGAACCAAGAAGGACACCTCTTCAAAATCAATAATTCCTTTTATTCAATGAGTCGAGACACAATACAGTTAACCCAATATTTTTTTGAAAGAATATTAAACAAATTAATATTTAAATTTGATATTTTTAAATATTTAATATTCTGGTTTATTTGATATTTAAATAATTAATTAAATTTTCGATAAAATATTAGTTAATCAGAATAATGTTATCATCAAGTGTTAAGTGTCATAATCTGATTTATTATTAAAATATTATATTAATATTAGATATATATTAGATATTTAAATTAAATTATTTAATTAATATATCAATCTAAATGATTCTATAACAGTATTTTATATTAATAATCAATTTAATATAAATATTTAACAAATCGATTATGTTAAAGCAGGTAATAAATATTTGATACTTTTTAATTTAAAAATTAAAATTAAAAAAGAAAACAAAAATTCTATGATCCATTTCTTAAAAACATATTTGCATTTTACATTCTCTTTTTGGTTCACTAAAACTCTAAAAGAAATAAGAAAAAGAAAAACAAAGGTTTCAGGACATGTTAACATGAACACTGGCATTGGTGAGGGAGTCACAAACAGGGCAAGTGCCCAACAGACTGGACCCACACATTGCGCATAGACAAAGATGCCTGCATGGCAGCAACAGCACACTGGTCTCCTCCTCCCCACAATTCCTACACTTCCTTTTACCGTCCTCAACCACAGCCTCCCGTGGTTGTGGTTGTGGTCGCTGCGGGACCACCACTTTGCGCCACCCTTCATCGCAGCTTCCGCAGCTAGACTCCGCCTCATCAACCAAATCCGCCGCGGCTCCGTCGTCGGCAACGTTTCGTTCCTCGCCGACATGGGCCAGGACTTGTTCTAAATTGGTGCGTAGAGAATTAGCGGTGGCTTCGTTGGTCTGCGCCAAGTCCCGCCACAGTTGGTTCTCTAAACACAGGCTTTTAACCCTTTCTTGAAGAACCCAGTTCAGTTTCCCCATTCTTTGAATCTCATCGTCTTTCTCCTTCAGTTTCTTTACGACGCCGTCTTGGATCGCCGTCAACAACATTCTCGACTGTTTCTTCCTCTTTTCTTCGAGCTCCACCTTCAGTTTCTCCATCTGTAATTAAAAACACAAAAGAAACATCAATAAACTGTCCTTGTTTATCTGTTAACCTGTCCTACACCATTGAAAAAAAACTCACATGTTGGGCAATCAAACGGTCGATTTCTTGCTGCTGCTGTTGTTGAATCTGACAGAAAACACCAGCATCAACAACAGAAGAAACACCCAAAGATTTGTTCTTTCGAGGAACAGCGTACGAATCGAAGCAATCGACGAACGACGCATCTCTTGGCCTTTTCCTCGGAGCCGACGAGACCGGGATATTCACGTTATTCGTAAGTCCACTGTCAGCTTTGTTGATTGAAGTTTTGCAGAAAGATTGATAAACAGCAGCTTCTTGCATTGTATCGACCAAAGGAACACAAGTAAAATCTCTGTCACGACAACAACAACAAAAAAGTTAACAAAATGGAATACAAAACCCAGAATTTACAGAAACAGAGATGGATTTAGTTTGAAGGTTACCCATTGGGGATGAACTGAGGGAAAAGATTCATATTCGGAGCCCCCACTGCCATTTGAGCCTTTGTGCTTAAGCTTTGAAGATGTTCTTTTAGAAGGATATATAAGTGAAAGAAGGGAATGGGAGAGGGGGAGAGGGAAAAAGAGAGAGATAAGGAGAGTTCTTTGGAGGAGACAAACAAAGGGAAAATGAGATGATTGAAGAAAGCGAAAGATTTATTAGGGTTTGGTTTTTAATAGTGAGAGAGAGCAAAAGGAGAGAAAAAGTCAAAAAAGACTTTCCTATTTTTTAATATTTTAATTTGTAAAATTAGTAAAACATGGGATGGCAGTGGCAGATTTTGTCCATTAGATTAGATTTGGTTTATTAAATAAACTCTTACCCTTTTTGTCTAATTCAACCCTCGGTCCCTATATTCTTTGAACATTTATAATTTAGTTCTTTTATTTTTAATCTCATAAATGTATTATATTCACTCTTCTCATTTAACAATTAATAACGCCATGGGTTTTCTTTTCTTTCTAAATGGACAATTTAAAGCTAAGGGGTTGTTTAATTACTTCAGAATAATTAAGTGCTAAATGATTCAAATGTTGAATGATTCAAAGGCTCTGAATGGTTTGACTCTGAATATGACATGTTGTTTGATAACTGACTCTGAATGATTCAGAATGTACTTCTGTGTTGAATCATTCAGCACTGTTTTATTGAATCAGTCAGCACTGAATCATTCAGAGGTGCGAAACAAACACGCTGAATGCTTAACGGTTCATCATTCAGCGCTGAATAATTCCATTAAGAGGCAAACAAACAGCCCCTAAGTGAAAGTGGTGTAAGTAAAAAGAATCACAATCTGTGTAATATTGGCAGGCCCGTCCCTGTGAGCATGGGCAAAAGGGGCGCTCGTCCAGGGCCCCTCTTGTTTGGGGTTTAAAATTGTAAATTTACATATAATTAAAATATGATAAATTATTTATTTAGTCATTCATATATTATTTTATTTTTTTTTGGTCATCCAATTATTATTTTTTTCAAAATCATACTTAACATTACATTTTTTCTTTGTTTTACTATCCACCATTAAAAAAATTAACGGCGAAGTTGATGTAATATTTTTAAATTATCTTTTTACTTTCAACTTAATTATTCTTTTATTATTATTTTTTGACAAAATGAAGAATGTTATAATCTAACATGTACCCTTTTAAAAGAGGATCATACTTGTTTTGTGTTAGTAGTTGGGTATTTAATTAGTGTTTTTTGGTGTTTTCTATTTAAAATTTAATGTATTTATTAAATAGTTTATTAAACATAATATAAAAACAATTTACAAGTAAATTTATTTAGTTTTGTTTGTTCTTACAATTCAATTTTTCTATACTTATTATTAAGGGCCTAATTTCTATTTTCGCCCCAAGCCACTAAAATTTCATAAACGGGCCTGAATATTAGCCACATGAGCATATTTATTTAAGAAAATACAAAAACAGATAATTTAATGTAAATTCTTCTCTAGTTTTATCAGTTAAGATTCAGTTACTAATTTGAAAAAGTAGGTGGAATGAATTTACGGGCTAAAAAAGTAATGATTCTAAATTGAAATGTTCAATAGAACAGGGACTGAAGTAGAATTATACTTTTTTAAAACTTTATTAGGTTCGGTTTAATTAACGCCGTGTTGCACCGGTGAAAGATAGACTTACCAGGGGCAAAAAGGGAATGTACCCATTTTCACTATTTCGGGTTCTGTCAAACATGAGATTTACTGATTTAGTGTTTTAACCAAAAACTGAATTATTGGCCGTCTGGTGTTTGTATATATATATATATATATATACATCATAGTAACCGACGAGCGGCATATCTGCCACGTGTTATAACCACACTGATCTTGCTACGTAAGCCGCTATATACGGTCCAAGCACCCATCAACAATTTACTAATAAATAAAATAAAATAAAAACAGGTGAACGTGGACCCAATTGTGGGCCGCAGAAACCTTTTCGCATGTGTGAAGCGTGGGATCATTCTCTTTTTGGAATTAGATGACTTATTTCAGAAAAAGAGATGAATGAAAACCCCCCCCTTGTCTACGTTTGTGGGGCCATGCTAAAGTCGCAGTTTTCCCTTTCGCTACCTTTGTCTTTATTGCCTTTGTTTTACGAAATAAATATTTTTATAAACAAATATTTTATTTACGAAAAATAAAGATGCTTTTAATCAGAAACATTATTTATTAATTAAATATATTTTTGTCTCATGTAGTATCCTAATTAGAAGATGTTCTCAGTCGATTGTGTTTCTCGTTAAATTAAAATATAATTGTTTAATAATTTAGTTTTATTATGAAAAATGTTTAGAATTGAGTGAAAGATGGTTTAGGTTTAGGGGTCTTTTTTAAATAAATAAAACCTTTTAGGTTGTGCAGCGTTTTTATATGAATTTTCTAATTGTTTTCTTGTCGACATTGCTAAAGTGACATTAAATTTAAAAGATCATTAGTAATATAAATTTATTTTTTAAAATAATATATATTATATTTAAAGTGAATAAAGTAGACAAATTTTCGTGACAGGTTAGGAGTTCAGTTGGTTTAGCATGATAATAGTTAGAAAGGACAGAATTAATGTGACGTTTTAATTACTCCAAACATTTGTTTCTTTATTTTCATTTTCGTTTCAGTCCCAGACGCATGATATTTAAAAATAAATATATGTAATGGCGACAATAATAAAGTCTTGATATCTTTATTACATCAAAATTGAGTTGTCTCTTTAGGTTTTATGGAATCAATGGAAAAGGGCATATGGTGGTAAAATAATAGTAATAATAATGTTCTTTAGTCATTTAGATCATGTCTTTTACAAATGTTTTAAGTAGTTTTAGTGAAAACATAGATTATTATTTTATACAAAATTTTTAGCTCGAGTAATTATATTTATAAAACATGTGTAATGTATATTATTAATAAAATTCTAAATATATATTATATTATAATCACTTTATACTTTAAAAATATATTTTTTACTATAAAAAATTAACAACACAATTTTCAGCCCAAAAAGAAAGCGCAATACACAAATTCACGTAGGGAAGCATGGACAAATGTTTATTTTAACAGTTCCAGGTTTTGTCGGTGGCATACTGGGGCTTAATTTTCCAGGGAGGTAAAAGATAAAGGGTAAGTAAAACAGGGTAAAACTCCATGAAAATTACAGTGTTGTGCAAAATAAGTAAAGCAAATCCATTAGTTGACGGTCAACCACATGCATTGAATTGTTTAGGGATTGATGCCAAAATAAATGAGAGTTTGATTAATTAGCTGACAGACAAGTCACGATCCTTCGTAAAATCCAAAATTCTCCCAGCGACCAAACTTTGGGTCCCCCACTCCTATTTTCCCACATTATTCAAGTGAAATGATGGCTAAAATCTTGCATACCACAATCACCGTGACAGCCTCTTCATCGTATTTATTTATGATATTAAATTATACATATATATGCTATGTTCTTATAGTACGTTCTTTTTATCTTTTCTATAATTAGTTGTTTAATCGTTTTTATTTTTCATTTAAATTTTGTAAGATTAGATTAAATATTATATCGATTTATTAAGAAGATATTTATTTATTATCTTATTAATTTTTCTTGTTTTGGATCATCAATTGAATTTGAATATACGAATTTACGTTTAAAAATAATATTCTACGTCAAAATTATATGATTTCATATAATTTATTTTTATAATCAATATTAACATTTTTTCATGAATCAATTTATCTATATAGTTAAATGAATCGTTGTTATTTCTAGAGGTCATGAGTTCAAACACCAACGGCTGTAGTAAGATGATTGAATTTTCATTGTCAAATTGTTAAGAATATTTAGAATAAATACTACTTTGTAATCATCTTAGATTAATAAAAAATATTTTATTTTATATCAAAATTATTTTCAACAAATATAATTAATACCTATGTATATGCATGCACCAAAATAGGATAGGGAAAGGGATAGATAAGTGTAGATGAGTCTTAATCAACCCCCACAATGCCCCCACCCTATATATCTAATTGAATTCCCGGTCACACACGAACTTTCAAAGTAAACGGAGACATAAAATTAAAGAAGAAAGAAAAGAGAAATATTGGAGTTAATTGCTTTGCCACCCACCACCAACACTTATATGTAGATAGATAAAAAAAATTATTAGATGGCCCTTGTTCATTGCGTTATCTTTTGTGGTTTCAATCCATAGTTATATTTTATTTTATTCTATTTTATATAAGATGAATCTTTATATCTTTTTTACGTGTAAATAAAGAGTAAACAATTATTTAAAAATTATTTTAAAATTGATGTGTGATTTACTAGGACTATAAATGATATGATGAATCGGACCATAAAATAAATTCTCGTAAATAGACAGATAGATGGGTTGCCACATCCCACCACCGTCCCTTGTCATCCTTCTTTCATTAGTTTTCTATTTTTCTTTTGTGGCAATCTCTTCCATTATTGCCTTGCTTCCATCATATCCCATTACTTTGAAAAGATGACAAAAATTAACCCCCCAAACAAAGAAATGATGAAATAATATACATCAAAATACACGAATCACGGCACGAATATGTTCTTATCCACTTCACAATGTTTACATTTATTCTGTTACAAAATTTACCCTAAATAATTCCCTATTAGTGGTCTAGTTTTCACATGAACTTTCTTTGAAAGCTGATTATTGCCTGTAATTATGTTGTTGATTAGTACAAATTTATTTTACCATAAATTAATCAACTTTTGGCTTTCCACACAAACATGATAAGTAGTATCCAAGAGATCTCACATTCATATGCACCTAATGATATAATTGATTTTGGTATTCCAAGAGATGAAATGTCCTATATAATCTTTTTGACATAGAAAGTTCCTCTCTTTTTATTTCTTAGTTGAAATTTTGATATTCCGAACATGAAGAGACAAGGAGCCTAGATGCATTTTCCCTAACCCTAATAACGATGGTGGTGTTCAGTTCTTCAATTAAAAAGATAAATAATCTACTTTTTTGCTGGCTGTTAAAACCTAAAAGTTTTGATTGAGTGTGTTGTCATTAGCCACGTTTCTTCGTCAAAATTAACGCTGCACAATTCCGACCATTTTTGCAGCCAAACATTCAATCTTTACATGATGTGGATAGCTAATAATAGTCTAAATATGCCTTTGTTTTAGCTAAATCCAAAAAAATATGATATGATCAGTGATAAAACTTAGT